CTGATGAACAGAATGAACTGGTGATTATAATAGAATCAGGGACATAGAAAGGGAATGGACTGACTATTCTTGGGGGGAAGGGGGTGTGGGAGATGCGGGAAGAGACTGGACAAAAATCGTGCACCTATGGATGAGGACAGTGGGTGGGGAGTGAGGGCGGAGGGTGGGGTGGGAACTGGGAGGAGGGGAGTTATGGGGGGAAAAAGAGGAACAAATGTAATAATCTGAACAATAAAGATTTAATTTAAAAAAAAGAGATAAAGAATTATAAAAAAGAAAAGATGAGGGGGAACCAAGATAGCGGCGTAAGGTACAGACCTGTACGTGCTGCCTCCCACAACAACATTGAAAATACCAACTATAAGACAAAATAGTTCTCTCAGAACCATAGGAAAGCTGGCCCAGTCAAAGTTCTACAACTGGAAGGAAAGAAAGAAGAGCATTGAGACTCAGTAGGATATGCAGAGGCACCAAGAACAGAGGTACGAAGTCGCATGCCACGTGGGCTGCAACTGGATGGGCGTTTTTTTTTCAATCAGAAGGGGTTACAAACTCTCAAATCCACTGAGCTTGTTTGGGGCGGGATTCTGAGGTCCCAGATCCCTACGGGGAGAGGCGGGACAGCCTTGCAGCGGGTTGGAAAGTGAGGGTGGCTTTCTTACGGAGCTGCTCGCTGGTACTTGGGGCCGGGACTTGGGGACGCAGAGACCCAGAGTGGCAAGCAGTCGCGGAGACGCCATTGCTGTTTGCTCCGCCCTGTTGATTCCCTGCGACCCCACCCTACTCAGTTTACATCACCGCCCAAGCTGTGCCAGTGGCACAAAAGGAACCACCTGCGCTTTTTCAGCTTAACCTGACAAACTGCAGAATTCAACTCCTCGTACCCATAAGGGACAAAAGGAACCACCTGCGCTTTTTCAGCTTAAACCTGACAAACTGCAGAATTCAACTCCTCGCACCCATAAGGGACACACTCAAGAAGCAGAATCAGGTTCAGAGGAAGCCGGAAATGGACCAGGCTGGGCCAGCAACATGGAACCGCTGTACCAGCAAACGCACAGACAGGTCCACCAGATCCAGTCTCCCAGATCTGGGAGACGGCAGACAAGCAGTCTGTGCACTTAGTAGAAAACGAAATCCAAGCAAGCAACCAGATATTCAGGCATCAAGAACGCCTGGAGATTTTGTCCAGCCAGGATTCGCCCAACAAAAGACAGAATGCCAAACTTCGTGTTGACCAGTTAAAGTATGATGTCCAGCACCTGCAGACTGCTCTCAGGAACTTCCAGCATTGGCGATACGAAAGGGAGCAGGAGAGATAGTGAGAGGAGCTTCTGTCTCGCACCTTCACTCCCAACGTGGGATGCGGCGCCCACTGTGAGGCTGCGACGGCCCCTGTGAGGCTGAGACGGTCCCTGTGAGGCTGCAACAATCCCTGCGAGGCTGCAATGGCCCCTGTGAGGCCGAACACAGGGACAGTTGGGGGAGCAAGGGCAGAGGGTGGAGTGGGAACTGGGTGGAGGGGAGCTATGAGGGGAAAAAAAGGGGAGCAACTGTAATAATCTGAACAATAAAGATACATTTTTTTAA